CTTCCATTGCGGTGGGCATCTGGAGATGCTGTCTCTGCCTTCTCTCCATGCCTTGCTTTGGCGGGTGCTGAGTTTGAGGTGTGTGCCGGCAAGGTCCTACACTGTGGCCCTATTTAGGGTAAGAGGACCTGGTGGGCAGAGTTAGGGTTACCTGGGCATTGCTCTTAGAAGACCTTTCTGTGCCTCTGGAGGTAATCTGTTTGGTTCTCTCCCAAGAATGTTAGGAAAGATCAAGACTGGCACCTCCCTCATCCCAGGAGCCTGGCGGTAGGCCAGAAAGGACTCCCCACACTGGTCAGCCGGTCTCCAGTCAGTGGCTGAGGGTTTCTCAGACTTTGCATGGGCTGCCTGCTCTGCTCTGTCTCTGTGCGAGGGTGGGGTGGGGTGAGTGGGGGGGTAGGGGTGTGGGGGTGGTGTCACTGCAGGGCAGAGTGCTCCTCCAGCTCCCACAGGGGTACAGACTGGATGCTAAGGGCCCAGCCTGCTTTCCCTGGGGCAGTGGCCCTCATTCATCCTGGCAGTGGGCCAGTTGGTAACACCTTGTGCTGTCTTCAGAGCCCACACATGCCACCTGGGGGGAAAATGGCTCTGGGTGGGAGCATGGCGTGGCCTGGGGCCTCCTGGTAGAATCTGAGCCAGCCAGTCTCTGGCCCTGCTTCCCTAGACCATCCACCCCAAGATCCTCCCAGGCTCTGCAGGGCAGGATGAGTGTGCTCGGCAGCATCATGTGAAGTTGGCCCTCCTGCCCTTGCCTGGAGAGGCCAGTGGGAGATGTGAAGTGGAAGTCTCTTGTTCTGCCAGGGTGCTGGAAACTATTAGTTGGTCTTCTGGGCTCCACAGAGATGTTCTCATCTGTGGGCGGCTGGGAAATTGGTTGATTGTGTGGCCTTGCCTGCGCTGGGCTCTGGTGCACCTCTAGGTGATGTCAGTGAGGTGTTTGTTGTCTGAAAGACAGCAGATGCAGCTCGTGGTGTTTACTTCTCAAAGGGAAAATATAAACAAGGAGGTTAAATAAGCCAGTGTACTCACTCTAAAATTATTTATGCACACCACAAAGCACTTGTCTAAAAATTCCTGCTTTGATATTTAGTTCATTAATGCTTGGACTAAGCTAATTCCATAAACTTCTGAGGTAGAGTATGCTCTACTAATTAATTAAAGTTATTAATGATTACATATTCAGATTACACTAAACATGGACGTTCTAAGGCAGAAAAAAATTCCAAAAACTTCAGAGATCTATAGAATTAAATGTTTGTGTGTGTATACATGTATATTTGCGTGCAAGTGTGCTGCTATACAATCTTTTTCTAGTGAATGACTGTGAAAGTGGTGGTCAGTATACACACACAGAGTTATAGGATAGAAAGATTTTTCAAAGCTTTCTATATTATTATGTGTCTCTAAGAATTTTATATAGGTAAAAACAAGTTTACTACTTGTTACTACTTGTTTTTAGCACCATATGGTGTTATGGAAAATGATTTAAAAATGGTTTTACCATGTTACTGATTGTGGGAGACAACTTCAGTGACTCCCTTTGAATCCAAAACAATTACTATACTTTGATTACTTGGAGACTCATTTCCTTATACTGATATGTAAAAGGCTGGCTAGGGTATTTCCTTCTCTTTTCAATCAGCTCTGAGCATTGCAAATAAGGCTAGCCGAGGTGCTAATATGCAAAATCTATAGCCATCAGACAGTCCTGTTTCCTTGAACAGTGTTCTCCACAATGCAGGATTGAGCACAGAGATGTTAGAGCAAATAGCTCAGTTAACTGGGTATGAGCCTCACGATAAGAGGCTATGACTGCCCAGGGCCCAAGAGTTTGCATATCAAAAACCCAAGGGATAGTCCCCCAAGACAATTTCACTTCTACCTTAATTGGATTATCTTTATCTCTGCAAATTACAGAGGTGCCATTCTTGCACCTGGTCAGCCAGCTTAAATTACTCAGTAACCCCCCCCCCCCATCCTCACTATCACTCATCCCCTGAGCCACCCCCCTTTCTTCACATGATATAAGTGCTGGGAGAGGCCTAGGATCCAGGCCTTTGTCTGCATGTCCTCACGGGGATTGGATTTAGGACCCCTTGGCTGCCCTTAACTTGGAATATGTCTTGGTGTTTTTACTCTTGCCATGGGTGTCATTGGTGGCAGAGACTGGAATTAACTTGCTAGAATTCCAAAAACGTCTCAATGGGATTACAAATACAATTTTTTGGACTGTGAGGAAAACTAGAAAGAGGATTACAATACCTGGATAACTGAACTCGGTATTTGGGTTTACAATAATTGACGCCATCTGTTTCTCTAATTTAGCTTTTATTTTTTAGCTGGCTAGCTTCCTCTTAAAGCTGTGGGTAAAGCAAGGCAGTTCAAATGTAGTTCCTCATAATGGGGGAAGTATGTGAAACTGTCAAACACTAAGATCAGAGTATTTTGAGCAGACTATTCTTTTTAAAGGTTTATCTCTTAAAAATGTTTGAGTAAGTAGATATTTCAGTTTTTTAATTGGCTTGCATATTTCACAACCATTAATTTGACTCCCAATCATTAAATTAACCTAAGGTAGGTCTCTTCTCTTTGTGCGAATGTATTAGGTGACCATTAATTTTACTTACTGTCCTAATGCATCAGCCTGTGATTCCACTCACCTCTTTTACTGTGGGTTCCTTGATCACATGTCCCACTTCTTGGTTTCTCACTTAGGAAAAACATATTCTCCATTAACTTCTGGAGAATGTATGGAGTGTGTATTTGTTGACACATTTTGAAATTGAAAATAAGTTAGTCTTATAACTGGCTGATATTTGTCTTAGTACAGAATTGTAGGAGCCAGCCTACGAAGCTGTACCTGAGGAATGATGAGAGACAAAACACAAAGATACAGAATAAGGTTAAAATGTGGGGGTTAGGGGGTTTTTGTCTCTTTTTGACAAAAAGCCCCAAGTAACTGGCACACACTCTTCATTCACTCAGAGACAGGTACAAACCATCACAGTGAAACAGGATCCATTTGCCTCCCATCATCCATGGTACATGTCCAGGTAAACAGGCTCTCAGCTGGATTAATTGTCCCTGCTGCATGTCAGCAGGCACTCACTCATGCCATGTTGCTCCCTAGTGTTCACAGAAGAGGCCAATGAGACCTTAATCTTCCTACATGGTCTCCCACAATTATAAGTAGTTCTATAGAATTTTTTTTTTTTTTGGTAATATTAGGGGATCGAACTCATGACTTTGCACTTGCAAGGTGGACACTTAGGCCGCTAAGCTAAATCCCTGGCCCAGAAGTTTTAAGAATTGCTTCATGATCTTGTAATTTCCAGAGCTCCTATCGAGAAGTCCAGTCCATTTATCTCTGTACGTGTGACATGAAATCTAGTTTCCTCTAACTTTTTTTTCTCTAAATTTGTACAATCGACTTTTTGTAGGGTCAAATAAGAGGACGAAGACACACAGAGGAAGAGCTCCCAAAATCTGTGTGTTCCACTAAGCATTTTATGTTTCTGAATCTCAATTAGGTACTTCATAACCACATACAATTATTATTGGTGCACCATGGCATCCCATGGGCCATGTAGCCACAGATAGATCAGAAACAAAACCAGCTTCTTCGTGGTTTCAAAGATGGGAGTTTAAATACAAGAAGCAAACCAGAACTTGTTGAACACTGTCAAAAGATGGTCATGAAATATGTCACTTCTTTTTAGAACACTATTATTTTCAAACCCTAGTTTCATGTACAGCCAAGAAGATAGGGTTGTGGAAATTAAAAGCAAATTTAAATATACGCATGGAACAAGATTTAAATTTAAAATAAAGGAAATCTAAGAACATATTGCTTACAAAGATCCAATGACTTTTTCTTTCTTTAAATTGGTGGGGTCAGGAACCATCTCCTTTTGCCATAGCTTATGCCATGCAACAGGAATACAGCATATACAATCCACATTTTTTAAAAATTTAAAGCAAAAAACTTTTCACCATATAGCTATCCAGTTTTTGTATTTCTTCCAATTGGAAGTATCAGACTATCCACGCCTACTGCTAAGAGGCAGTCACACATGCAAAACCTCTATAATTCCTTTTTTTTGGTCTTTTTGAGACAAGATTTTGCTGTGTAGTTCAGGCTGGCCTTGAGCTCCCTTTGTAGCCTAGGCTGGTCTCGAACTCACAACAATCCTCCTGCCTCAGCCTTCCAAGAGTGCTGGGATTACAGGCATGAGCCGCCATGCCCGGCTGGTTATAATTGCTTTTATGTGAAATTTGAAAACATGTTGATGAAGTTCCAAGGAGCACAAGGAAGCCCTCTGGGATCCCTGACATATTTGTATTTATACAGGGGTGGACACATTGAACTGAAGCGTTTTACTACCCTATGTCACACAAACTGAGGGATCTATTTTTAAATTTTAGAGAAAAATTTTAGTGGCCCTGAGAACATTACTGAACAGACAGCATGTTTTGCCCTTGTCAAGATGTCAAAGCCTCTCATTAAGAAAGGAGTATTTAAGACACTTTCCAAACCTTTCTTCTTGCAATGCACCCCACTTCCCACCTCCCCAAACATTCCCCTCTATCCAGATTACAGCCATCTCAAGAGGGTCGAAAGTCACAACACAGTTTCAAGTCCTTTCCTTCCTCAAGCCAAGGTAAACTCCCAAAGTGAAACTCAAGGGAGCCCTGTGCAAACATCAGCTCGTTATTTATATATTTAGGTACCGGGAATTGAATTCAGGACCTTGCGCTTGCCAGACAGGCTTTCGTGCCGCTGAGCTATAGACCCGGCCCAACACCAACTTTTTAATGGTCACTTTATTACCTCTTGGATTGCCCCAGCTCATAGACATGGACATCGTGGTATCTACAGTATAATTTTACCCTGACAATTTTGAACAAATACAAAGATGGAAAAGCGCTTTACCAAAGTTTCCATTGACTCTCTTTTTTCTTTATTTTTGCCGTATTAGGAATTGAACTCAGCGCGTTTGCCCTGAGCTACACTCGCAGCCTTGATAAACATTTGTATTTTGAGACCTGGCCTTGTAGTTGGCCAGACTGGGCTCGAACTCACAGAGCACTACAGATCTGGCTGAAGCGTACAACTCGAAGACGGTCCTGAGACTTCCGTCCTTTGCCCCTCCCGAAGACCCGGGGTGTGCAGAGGAGCCAGAGACGTCAGCGGACGCCGCTGTCGCCCAGCAGCCGCAATGCCCAGGTCTCCCTCGCCCGGGCCAGGGTTCCAGCCACCTGGAGTCCGCAGCCCCGCGCGTTCCCGCTGTCGAGCCCGCGCACGTCGTGCGCCGCGGCCAATCGGCGAGGGCGTCTCCCCCGCGCCCCGTTTCTGTTCTTGGCGCAAGCGCGGCAGCGGGCCGAGGGTGGCGGGGTGGCCGAAGCGCGGACACCACTTGCCGCCATGGTTCTGGAAAGCGTGGCCCGCATCGTAAAGGTGCAGCTCCCTGCCTATTTGAAGCGGCTTCCGGTCCCGGAAAGCATCACAGGCTTCGCCCGCCTCACAGGTAGCGCTCTTCGGCCTTGCATGTCTTGGGGGAGGGGCGAGGATCCCTGTGCGAGGGGCGGAGCGAAGCCGAGCACGCAGCCTCCGGTAAAACCCCATGACCTTGCGTGCGCCTGCGCAGTGGTGCGGGGGTATCCGCGCAGCCGCGTCCCGGAACTCGCCCTCGTGGCAAGTTCGCCGCGTCCGTGCGTGGCGGGAGCCCGCGATGTGACCTGGTGGGATCCGCCAGAGAGACAAATTGTTCCCTCTGACCGTCACCGTCGGTCGGCGGGCCTGTTTTAGAGCCAGTTTCGGCAGGCTGCGGCGGAGTGCGAGGCCGGAAGGAATAGGGCCGTGGGCGGGAGACACGAGATGGTGACGGAGTTAGGAGGCAGCTATTAACCCCCCTCTGGGGACGCGCGAGGTTACCTGGAGCCTGCCAGACCCGAGAGGGAGGCCGAACCTGGAAAGTGGGTCGGATCTTAGTGGCATTAGTAAGGTGTGACGTATTCTTCAGTTAAGGTTCACCCTTGCACAAGAGCACTCGCGGCTCGGCGTTGACGTCTCCGGATGCGGTGCATCCTTGGGCTGGGTGCACCGCAGTGTATGAACTGCAGTGTGAGCCAGGCCTCTGTGGGTTTGCGAGGAAGAGGACATACACTGCCCGCTGTATCCCCCCGGTCGGGATGCGAGCGTGGGCCGAGACGCTGCTTGGCCCTTGGCGTCCCTGATTCAGTCGGTGATCTGGAGTCCTGCATGGACCCAGGAAGGAATACGAGTACCGCTTAGACAGAGTTCGTGACGAACTAGTGAATTTTAGGTGAGGTGGATTGCAACTCCATGAAAGGTTTCAGGTTTTGTTTTTTTAAAGAATGATTTCTTAACTGCGTGCCTTGGCCCCAGGCCTCTAATCCCATCACTCGCTGAGGCATAAGGATTGCAAGAGAGTCCACCCAGCACTTTCAGTTTAGTTTAGCGAGGCTGTTTCAAAATTAAGAAAGCAAGGACCAAAATTAAATCCTCAGCGCGAGGGTAGAGGGTACGTTCCTCAAATAAATGTACCTTCTGTGGTTCCTACGGTAAATGGGTTTAGGTGAGGTTAACTAGGTGACATATTCTCCAAATATACAGAATTTTTATCATCAGTGACAATCTCTCTGTTAAGTGGGTTGTGAGTTTTAAAATATTTAGATGTTGAGGTTTAGTAGAAAACGTTTGAGTGAAAAGCATTGTGATAATCACTAGGATGAAACATTTACATGTCAGAAATGATACAAAAGGAAAAAGCTTTCAAATCACTGGGATGTGTAGAAACATCAGAATCTTGATTCTGCTTTCATTCCTTTCTTGACTACTATTGTACAGTATCGCACAGCACACAGCACTGAGGGTGCTGTGCTGTCGTTGACACACGCCTGTGTTGCTTCTGTGCTTAGTTTGCATCTATGAATGGTTGTAGGGGGAGGTCAGTTTGCATGTTGCTCATCGGGAATTTATTGTGTAGTTCTAGTTCAGCATAAATAGCCACATACCAGTTTTCTCTCTTTGAATTATACTCCTGTTTTTTCTTTTTGAGATGGTTTCATTATGCAGTTCAGGTTGGCCTTGAACTCATATTGTAGCCGAAGTTGGCCTCAAACTCTCAAAAGTCCTCCCTCAGCTTTCCAATTCCTGGGATTACAGGTGTGTGCCAGCATGCCTGGCTTGAATTATACTCATGAATGCATAGTATTCACTAAATTGGTAATACCAAGTTAAAAGGGTATTACCGTTTTGTGACATTCATTCTTTTGCAGTTTACCTTAATAATTTTCCTAAAGTAAGTTTTTCACAGTCCAGTGCCACATGAATTGCATGTTAATTCTAATCAAGATGAGTTTTATAGCAGTTTCAGTTTTCTGTAAATGGAGTGAAACTGAAACAGGTTAGAAAGTGACACTGGATTTAGTGGCTAGGAAGCCAGTTTTCTTAACAGAATTCTTAGTACATGCATTAAGTGCTGATTGTGATGGCACATGCCTTTAATCCCAGCATTCAGGAGGTTGAAGCAGGAGGCTACTTGGCTACTTAGTTCGAGACCAGCCTGAATGGTATAGGAAACCTTGTCTCAAAAACAACAAAAAAGGCAATAAGAAAACTCAACCAAAAGTTTGTACCTCTTAATAAATTCTCAAAAAACCAAAACCATTATGTTTGTTTGTAGTGCCCACCATTAGTTATCATTGCTTATTTGGGAAACAAAACAGTTCTAATGACTGCTTTATGGAAAAATGAGGTAGACTTTTAAATTAGTAACAGTTGCAGAGTCTGTTTTGAATGAATACAGATGAAAACTTCAGTGGTATTTCCTACTCTGAATCTTTCTGTCAAGGTAGATTGTCATAGCTGATGACATTTGGCTTTCTTGAATGGACTACTTGTGAAATTTATTACAGATTTTTGTTGAAATAAAAACCAGGGAAACAACTTCATTATTAAACAACTTCAAAAGATACTTCCATTTTTTAAAAAATGGAAACTAGAGCTAACTAGTTTACAGTTCACAATGAATGTGATCTTTATTTACTGCAGCTATCTAATAAAATCTAAAAAATTACAGCTAACAATATTGTTGCCTGTATTTAGATCTAGCAGTTTTTGTAAGCAGCCCACTCATGATGACTCTGCATTCTTAGAGAAAACATGGAGATCTTTAATTACCCTGCATGATTTTAGACAGTTCTTATCAGAAAAACCTGTCTATTTTTTGTTTGTTAAATTTTGTGAAGGAAGGCCTTTAAGATAAATGAGTGTAATTTTATATTGGAACTATAGTACATTTTAATACTTTGACTTAAGTTTTTTTCTTAATACTATACCATATAACTTTCTCCCTCTTGCTCTGTTTTTTTTTTCTTTTTTTGATAGTACCAGGGCTTGAACCTAGGGCCTTTGCACCGAGCTCTATCCCTGACCGTTTTTAAATTTTAGTTTGAGACAGGTTCTCACTAAATAATCCAGGCTGGGTTTGAATCTGCAGTCCTGCCTCAGACTCCCACAGTACTAGGATTGTAGACATGGCCCACCCACCATGTTGCCTCTGTGTTTTCTTGAGACTGAATCTCACTGTGTAATCCAGACTGGCCTTGAACTTGAGATCCTACTTCAACCACCCAGGTGCTGGGAGTAAAGACATCTACACCCTGCTGATCATAAATGTGGATTGACTCTTGACCTCGTGTTTGCCAAGCAGGCACTTCCGCTGCTGAGCTAAACCCCCTGCCTTATCATAAACATCTTTAAAACAACTCCAACAGCTAATCTGTTCTCATTCAAAACTCAGAATATAGTTTTCTGATTTACATGGTTGCTATGAAATTCTGTTCACTTGAATTAACTTTCATCTTTGATGAAACTTTAACATGTTTTACTCTTTGAAGACAAATTATTGTGAGACTGTTTCTTAGACAGGGTCTTGATACATGGTGCAGGCTGACCTGAACTCCCTGGCATAGCCCCAGCTGATCTCTACAGTGAATTTTTTTTTTTGTACTGGGGATCAAACTCACGACCTAGCACTTGCCAGGCAGGCACTTACACCACTGAGCTAAATCCCTGGCTCCCAGCTGACCTCTAAATTTATGGCAACCCTCCTGCCTCAGCCTCCCCAGTGCTGGGATTATAAGTAGGGAGGTTACCATGTCCAGCTAGTGTGAGATTTTAATACCTATGAGGAAACTGGACAAACATGTGATGGTATGTTCATAAACAAAGAAGACACACGAATACTGATCCAGGATGTGAATAATAAAAACTGGTGAAAGGGGATTTGTTTATAAAAATCAGCTGTGGGAGAATAAATGGTTTAGAGAATCCTTTCTGGATTATTGGAAGTATTTACGTATTATTTTTGGTGGAAGCTACAGGAGTGTGTTCACTTATGACATCACAAAGCCTAACATTTAAGATTTGTTTTACTGTATAACTCAAAAAATTTTTAGGAGAAAAAAATGAAATAAAAGGTAAATTTTCTCAGGAAGATGGCATAAAGGTCATTAATATTCAAGCCAAAGAAAGTTGTATTATTAACATGCAAATAAAGATTATTTCTGAAATACTAAATTTTAGAAACTTTTTGAAAATAAGAGAAAATCTTTTTTTTTCTTTTTTTTTTTTTTTTGCTCAGCCTCTCTTTAGGAATAAGAGAAAATCTTACCACTGTTAAATTATAGAAGTTTTGTTTCCTCCTAGTTAATCCACCTATATTTATAAGTGTGATTGAGGGTTATTTGGTTCTCTTTTAAACATTTGTGTGTGTCATCTGAAAGTCTTCCTCCACGTAGCTCCTTCAGCCATTTAAAGCTCCTCGAGTGCTCAAGTGTGTACTGAGAACCTCTGTTGGTACTGGTCCACATGCTAGCACACTGGGTATTCACAGTGGAATGGAAAATGGATGGACTCTTTGAATTGGTCACTAATTTTATTTTATTGGCCCTTTAAATGTTGATGCAGTTTATATTTTAAGTAGTAAAGCCATTCAGTGATGTTTTATTTCTGTCTTTCCTACAGTTAAGTAGAAATCCTCTTAGTGTCTTAGCTGCAAAGGATATGTAAAAAAATGTTACAAAGTTAATGGCAACCAGGTTGTCAATATTGTTTTCATGGTTTGTTATATGCAACCTTTGGCAAATTTACAAATGAAAGTAAACTGTCCTCTAGTTTCTTTGGATTTCTCATTGAAATCCAAATGTTCCTGTATTTAAAAAAAAAAAAATTGACAAGGGGCTGGGGATTTAGTTTAGCGGCATTGGTGCCTGCCTTGCAAGTTTGTGGTCCTGAGTTCAATCCCCAGCACCAATTTAAAAAAAAAAAAGATATGCAGCATGTCTTAAATGCTTTAAGGAGCTGGGGCTGGGGATTTAGCTCAGCGGCATAAACGCCTGCCTTGTAAGCACATGGTTGCGAGTTCGATCCCCGGTACTGGAAGAAAAAAAATTTGGCAGTGTTGGGCCTGAGCCTCTGGGCTTTCACATATGCCAGACA